GCAAAAGAGAAAAGAAAAAGAAAAAGACAGACAGAGGGGGATACAGAGAGAAAGAGAAAGAGACAAGGAGAAAAAGGGAGAGAGAAGAGATAAGGAGACAGCAGTGAAGATAGATATAGAGAGATAGAGAAAAAAGAAACAGAGATAGGGAGGCAAAGTTGTTCAGAAAGGGACAAAGAGAGGTGCTTCATTACACTCTGGCATATAGAGTTTGGCCTTACAAGCCCCCTCCCACCGCCCTCTCTTCCTAGGTCTCCAACAAAATCCCTAAATAGACCCTGTGTCCTGCATCAGGAATCTTAGCACACTCTGGGCCGTTGCCCCACATCCTGGGCTGTGGGCGGTGAGCAAGCAACCGCTGCTTAAGGTCCTGGGTAAAGGGAGTCAGTTGTCCAGCATCCTAGGTTCCCACTACTCACATGGAAGGCGGGTGGCAGGGGGTGGGGGGTGGTGGTGGTACCCTAGGGAGAGGAAGAGGGGACAGGAACCCCAGAAGCTTGGAATGAGGCAAGAGGGATACCATATCCATAACATCTCCCCAGGTCTCAGGATTGGGCTTGGGGGCCTGGAAGGGAGGGGATGTCCATGGTGGATCCCTGGCTTTGCCCAGGATGAACTGAGGAGACACCATGCCAGCCGCTACCTCTTTCAGGGTCCCAGCGCTCTTCTGCCTAAACCTGGAGATCATGATCCTTACTTCTGTCTGTCCCCACCCTGCTAAGAAGTGTGGGGTTAGGGGTGTTGCTGTGAAGGTAGCAAGCCTCCAAACTATAAACCTCAGAGCTGGCAAGGTCATCACAGGCTCAGGAAGCCTTTTCTCCCTAGCCTCATTGCACTGAGATGGGTCATCAGAAGCAGACCTGGGGTGGGAGCCCTTCCTCTAACTCTAAGCCTTCAACTTGGCCCTCCCTATGGGTAGGCATTTGGGGTCCAGGAAAGGCTGCTCAGAACAAACCCACTCCCTTTAGTCTCTCAGTCACATTGTCCACCCCATCCCATCCTCAACAAGTGTCCTTTCACATGTTGAAAGCCCACTACCCACCCTGCCTTGAAAAGTCTGAGGTTCTCTGGGGGCAAGGCCACAGATCTCCCAGACAGGGATGGAGAAGCAGCTCCGGATGTGGAGGGGAAAAAGGGAAGCAGAAAGTGGTGAAAGGCAAGGGGCCCCTACAGGGAATCAGGCCAGCTGGGCAGGAGGGGGTGAGTGGAGAGTACCTGGTGCATTGTCCCACGGGCGGGCGGGCGGTCGGCAGCACAAGACTCCCTCAGGACTGGTGGCCAGCAGGGGCAAGGGAGAGCCTGCCAGGCAGCTCAGCCCCTACCCGGAGCTGCCACGTCTATGGGGCTCACAGGGCACACACCCTCTACACACACACAACCTCACCGCTCTTTCCTGCGCTTTCACTTCCTTGAACATCGGGACTAACCTGGGGCCAGCCCTTAACTCTGACAGTATCTTGATCTTACTCCTTGGCACCTCCTTTCATGCCCCCTGCCAGCTTCAGCAGCCTGGGTCTGCCTGTCCACCCCTCCTCCACATGGTCCCAGACATTTGGCCATTGTCTTCACCCTGGTCCGCCCCCAACCAGGACATGCTGACTCCTTACCCCAACTGATTTCCTGAAGTACAGTCCTTTGATTTTTTTTTTATAATGCAGTATCTCAAACACACTGTGAAGTGTAGACTATATATAAAGAATACACTAAATCTCTCTGGCCCAACCACCAGCTCTGTCCATTTTAATAGTCTGTCACATTTATTTCAAACATTTTTAAGAACTAAAATATTACAAATAAAATAGAAGCCCCACTTCTGATCTCTCCCTTCCTTCTCAACTCAGGGATATCCATCTTGTTGAATTTGACGTTTATCATTCCCATGCAAGGCAGTCTTTTCTTTTCTCTTTGGGTTTTTTCTTCTTTGATTTTTATAAATATGAATTCTTTTTTTTTCTTAAAGATTTTTATCGGAGAATCGGGGAACAGTGTTGGGGAATCGGGGAAAGGGAACATTGTGTTTTTCCAGGACCCATCAGCTCCAAGTCAAGTTGTTGTCCTTCA